GTGTAGGTCTACATGGGGGGCGGGGCTCATTACCCCGGCGTGTCTCTGGCGTCCATGTAGGACCCCCCCTTGCTAAAGACCACCATGCTGTCCCTTTTGCACATCTTGGGACACTGGTGCGAAGCTAAAACAAAAAGGGGTTAATCATCTACGGTCTAGGGGCCGACTAACCTCTCCATTAGGCTTCGGCCGAGCCTCCTGATTAGTCTGTAAATCCAAGGATAGCGGTGTCGGGGTCGAAATCTCCGGCATAGCCGTAAATGCTTCGCGCTGCCATACTGCGCTTCAGCACTGGGTCTGGAGGTATGGTCCTTAATTTATTTAACAAGAAAAAAAAGGTTACCACTGAAAAAGAAGTTTCCCCCGACAAATGAAGTTTGAATGTTTAGAAAAAACAAGTCTGGAATATGCGCCTATGCGTCTTTCAGGCAATGTAATATCGTTCAGTAGCGCTAAGATAAGTATCACTAATGAATAGACTTTTAAAATGACGATGATCATGCTACTGCGCATGTACGTGATTATGTGCCGATATAATACCAAGAAAAAAGCCAGTGTCAAAGTTATTTTGGTATTTTTAATGATCCACAATACAAATAACTATCAAAACATGTTTAATCTCTTGGCTAAAGAATTGTTCACTATCTGTGAAAAATAAGTAGACTATAATAAACAGTTATCAATTAAAAGGAAGTCAAAAAATCCTTCTTAAACTTGTCTTGAATGCAAGGTTAACATGGAAATACTTAAGTAATGCTACAAATTCTATAGAGACAAAGTGTGATTTCTTTTGTATTTCCATGTAAGCCTCGCATACACGATACTTTTGAGAAGGGTCTATCCATACAGCATCATCTTTGCCTTGGAAACTGTCACCATGGAAACAGTAATAGTTATTTTCAGCCTCGATCTCTTGTTATGCGCATACGCAGTCAATGATAGTTTGATGGTTTCCATTTCTTGTTTTGCCTACGACAGGTTTGCATAGTGTACTTCCAGTTTTAAAGACGTTCTGAGTGCACCCGAATGGCGAAGACTCGTAGCACTCTGCTATCTTAATGCCTGTTTTCGCGTCAATCTTACGACTTTTAACGCATGGGTTTATTTCACCACTGCGACGAAATCTTGAGGCGTTATCAAGGTAAGCTCTCGGCCTCGCTTCCATGCTTGGTCGACACACACACATGCATATCAACATGCTTATTACCAAAGTGAGAACGAGTGACTGCAAAAATGAAAAAAGCAGGATTAGAAAATTGGCCATACTGTAGTATACATAGAGTTCTGTAGATGATAATGATGTAATGATGATGACCCTACAAATCCTCTGGGCTGATCTAATTATGGGCTTGGCAAACTTACAGATCGAATTGTAATTTAGCTTGTTATAAAATTTGTGGAGAGAAAGAACCTTCAAATCATCAAGCAATTATTCGAACTGTCTTGAGTGAGCGTGCCTTACCTTTGGAGGAAACATCTGTGATCTGATAAATCCTCGATGGAATGCGTTGTCCTGTGTCTGCTGAGTCCAATCGAATCCTGCTTCAAATGTTCTTTGAGTTGCATTGATGATCCATATGTTAGATTTATCGTCAGCGCCTAGCGAAATAGGAAGCGACTCTTTTCTCCAATCAGGTAACGATACGTGTCACTCAGTCAAACTGTGAACCAATCAGAATCAGCTAGTGTCAACCTGTTTACCATTAAGTTGTCGTGGAGTTTTATTCTGTAGCAGCGATCGATGTTTACAACATGTGTTTATACTTCCTTTCAGCACGAGTCACAAACATGTTCCTTTAGAAGTTTTTGTAACAATTTACATTATCTACTTGTAACGGTTGCTGTAACTCTTCTGCGACCGACGAAATTAAACAATTCCAAACCGATAGAGAAAGGGAATAAAATCAAATAATTAAACACAAAAAATCAATAAATAATAAAAAATGCATATGAATTATGGGTGGAATAAATATTAAAATTATTATTACAATTATTATAACAAAAGGAACGGTCGCGAAAAATATGAACTTTGCGGTGTATAAGAGCATAGCACAAAAATAACAAAAGGCAATACATTTGTACAATGCGACTATCGAAGACAAGAGGTGGGGCGGTACAATAAATTCAACCAATCACAATACGAAGTTAAGGTTACGGTAAGATACGGTATACGTAAGGCTATGACTATTGTTTCCCACGAAACTAAGCTCCGTTTTTCACTAGCTAGCTCCCAGTAATAACATGTGGCTTTTAAAAATAGTCTAAAAAAAGAAAAATAGAAACTTGGGTTTTTATTTATAATCGTCCACTTATTCATCTTCCTTTGCGGTTTGGTTAGTTGATTCTATTTCAGTACCAGTTTCAGAAAGATTCTATTCTTAAATCTCTGAAATGTCCTTATTTAGAAAACGTTTCGGGCGTATTCTCGTAAAGTTCCGGAAATTCACTCGGAACGTTTCGAGCATTATTCGGAAGATTTCGTTTTTCCAACGGCAAGAACTTCAGCTTCTCGGGTGCTGAAACAGGAAGCAAAAAACAAATGAATGTGCGTCGATTTGGGAAGAATCTGGCTTTTAAGCATGTTCAAGAATGAATCGATTATGGAAATAAAAATATAACAAAAAGAGAGTTCAATACCGTCCACTTTCCATGACGGGTTCTATTCAAATTGTATTTGAAAAAGAGTTTTAAAAATTTACCCGTTAATAGACCAGTTGGGGGCGTTATGTTTTTTAATATTCTTAAACCACTTGTTATTTTTCTAAGAATGCATTCATTGCTTACTGTTAGCGCTTGAAAAAATGCATGAATACAAAACAGTGGAACTCAAAATAAATAATAAATAAATAAAAGATTAAAATAAGGACTTCCATTTTATTAAAAAGGTACTCCGTTTTTAATCCATGAAAATAAGTTATATTTATGATAGTAATGCTTATAATTTTGTCTCAATTCATTGAACCGACCTAAACTATCTCAAAATTAGTGCCATTAAACAGAGAGTAAAACTATATTTTTAAAATGCTTTAATTATTCTAACAAGTTAAATTATTGCGTAGATTTGCTCATTCATTCTTGCTTTTATCTGAGTGCGGGAGGGACAGAAGCAAGGGTTGGTTAATATTCGGTGCCTTGAAATATCATTTTTTAAAGTCGTAGTGACGAAGCATAGGCATTCAGCTGCGCGAAAAAAAGATGGTACTGTTTGAAACTGGTCAAAAGTGAAGTATTCTACCATCCTTAGAAAATGAATTGTGCAAGACTTTGGACATTTAATCCCGGAAGTGTAGCTCTTCCTTATCCTCAATGTCGTTCTTGAATTATCACGCACTTGTTAAAAGGTTTGAGACTTTTATTCCGTCTTAGCTCAAGGGACAGAATTAGACTTTATTCTCCTTCAGAATCTATGCGGAAGATCATACATGCAAATTCATATGATGCGGCAGCTTTACAGCGAATTTTCTTCTTGGAAAAACCGACGGTAAAGCCATAATATTAATATTTATACATGGTTGATTGTCAGCGTTTTTGGTTGCGCTTTCGATCCATGGCTCTTTTTTTCCCACGCGGTTTTCTAGTTCTAAGTTTAAACCTGTCAAATTTGAGCTTCAGTCTAAAATAAACCGGTCTTTTTCTTTTTTTCCGCATATTCAGCAAGTTTTTTTTGTGCTTTTCAGTTCAACAACGCAGTCACACCCATTTTCAAATCTCTTTATCTCATTGATCCACATGACTAAGGTTCCAGTATCCTTACAAGACAATTTGTGCCAACGTTTTCGCTTTACAATTGATTAAAATTTAGATTTATTATTCTATTTTCCACTGGATAACACAACAATATGGAGCGGAAGTATAAATATACCTCATGAATAAATGCCGTGTTTTTCTACCGTTTAAACACTTCATGGTGAAAATTGTCACACAACATATCAAAACGTTACAAAATCACGCAAGTGCGATCTTTCTATCATGATATTTAGCCACTCAACCCAAAGACTGAGATAGAGAGAGATGGAGGATCAATGAGTATTTTTCGTTCGTTGAAATTACTTTAATTCAGATTTTTGTTGGTATTTTTACATCATTAATAATATTGATAAATCATACAATAATCTGTTTATATATTGAATATGAATCTAACTTTGATTACAACGACCCACAACGTCACACCACAACTTGATTTTATTTTCTAAGATTACAGAATAAGTGAATTTAATATAAAAGGGTATAGTTTGTTAGTTTTCGGTGCACAAATCTGCGGCTTTTTAAAACGCAAGGCACTAGAGTTCATGTAATTATGACACAGTTGTGTCCAAAGAGACGGTACATTGTGTTACAATTATACATTTGCTTCAAGTCTTGATGACAAAATTTCGCTTTAGAACTGAAGCTTTCAGACCGAAATGATTTGCGATTAGAGCGGAAATGAATCAAAACAACAAGGTACGCCGTGTATCAAACAGAATGCTTCAAGCAAACGACTACTGGAAAAGGAATTCTGCTGCTTTGGAGATCTTCCAGTAAAGCGCAAAAAAATCTATATTACGCATTTCCCATATATTTAACAAAATATATTTCAGCTCTACTTGACATCTTGATATAGCTTTTTGTACTGTACATTTCCAATGCCCAATACCTCCAAATAGTCTCTAATAGCTAGTAGTTATTTGTGCAATCGCCTTTCCATTAAATCTCACGAGGTAATAAGTTATGTACATTGTTTTCGTTGCAATTCGTTACCAAATATTTTCGGTCAAAGGGTTACGTTTGTGACGTTTGCATGTATACCATATGCAACCGAATTAAAATTTCCTTGATCACCGCGAGTTTTGGTTTATTTTTAAGCTCTTTAATTTTCAAAACGTTAGCGATCGATACTATTTAGATTTCATTAAGACTGTTTTCGCGATTGTGTGATCATCCAGATGATATTAGGGAAAACCCCAAGCAAGTAGAATGACTTTTGACTCGTGTGCGCTGCATCAACTTCCTCTTAGCGCGCTACATGTCATTGCTATCGACGTAAGTAACACGGAACAGGACAGGTCGATATGCGGAATTAGTCCGCGCCTATTGGTTGTTGGCTGGCTGGAATTGCAGTCCCCTCCATGGATATATAGTATTGCATACTGTTACTTCATCACAAGGACTCGTCTTTTTCAACTGGTACTAAAAATAGCGCGTTAGGTAATTCTGTAAATAGACAAATACATGTGTAAGAGGACCAGTGGAGGAAATTACGTATTGTAAAGTGTGTGCCGAAAATGGTTATAAAGCAGTCTTGATATTCCACTATGAAAGCATCACGAAGTAAGCAAGGCAAAGCGAAACACCTTACTTGGCCGCAGTACTTAAGACTCAATACAAGAGATCTAAGACAGAACAAGATATTTTAAAATGAATTTTTTCTATAAGGTAAGCCCATATTTACTTTTGATTCTAAATTACTTATTCTTTTTTTATTCCGAAGTTTCGTTTTTCGACAGATTTTCGGAAAATATCTTTCTTTTTTTCTATTCTTAAAGCCTCGTTTTCTCTTTCGGTTCTTTTCACTTGTTCTTTTTATGCAATTGTCATACATTGGATAGAATATGTCAACAATTGCATGTAAGTAGATCTTTTTCATTTATTGACTCTCCTGTCAGGTTGATTGGACTAGCGGCTCATCAGCCCTTGATCAGAAATCGGGAATAGTATCTTTTTGAAAATATAATCGAAGAGGAAAAACTAGTTTAAAGAAAAGAACCCCAAAATAACGTATAAAAAAAGAATACAATTCTGACTCACAACACATTTAAAGTTAAACAGAAAAAAAATGTTTCTAGAAATTGAAGCTTTTTATATGCCTGAAATTTCAGTTTTTAAAACAAAGCGCTTCAGATTCTTCCTGACAAGCCCAGTTACATTGAATGATTTTTACGCTTTGTTTATGAGATATGTAGGTGTAAAAGCTGCAGCCAAGCCAAACCACTGGCGATCTAATTTCCTTTCTTTTGAATAGTTCTTCCAAGTTTTCTATGCCTTTGATTCTTTTATTACAAAGAAGATTTCGTGTGACGTCACACGGTGACAACAATAGCTACATCCGTCTGTCAATCTCGAAGCAAATACGCCGACATTCTAACGGACATGTACAGGACTTATCATTATCACGTGATTATCATTATTATTATAAGATAATGATTATATTATTTTCTTTTTTTTTTTTCAGTCACTCGTGCTCACTTTGGTAATAAGCATATTGATATGCATGTGTGTGTGTCGACCAAGCATGGAAGCGAGGCCGAGAGGTAACCATGGAAAAGGCCAAACACAACAAGGAATGAATAATGTGAAAGATTTGATCGTGAAATATGTGTTGGAAGAAGTGGAAAAAGAAGTGCAGCAAGAAATATTACCAACAACAGCGGCAACAATAAGAGCAACAACACCAGCAGCAGTAACACCAGCAACATCAGCATCAGGAACAAGGTCATCGCTTTCTAACGCCTCAAGATTTCGTCGCAGCGGTGACACAAGCCCGTGCGTTAAAAGTCGAAAGATCGACCTGGAATTAGGCATTACGGTAGTAGAATGCTACGGGTCTTCACCATTCGGGTGCACTCAGAACGTCTATAAAAACGGAAGTACACTATGTAAACCTGTTGTTAAATCATTCAAGCTCAAAAAAAATGTTATTATCGACTGCACATGCTCGTAAAGTACATTCCATCTCATGGCATTAATCGAGGCTAACGTATGATATTTAGGCATTATTCTTTCTAGATGTATTTAATTCGTATTTTTAAAACTTTCAAGACATTTCCAACACTAAGATATTATATTTATATATAAAACAAAAAAATATTTATTATAAAGGTATCAAAAATTATCAGAAAAAATATTGTCCAAAAATTCTCAAATTAAATTATTAAATTATTTAAGAAATATCAATTAGGACAGATGTTATTATAATAATTATCCAAACATAATATATATATATATGTTTAGTAGAGACTTTGTCTCATTTATATGTTGGACTCATGTTAGTCTTATACTTTTATTTTATCATCAATACATTAATAATATCCTCCATGTAATTAGAATATAGTAAAGAAACGAATATTAATAATAAATTATGAATATATTAATTTTGTTTCTAGAGTG